TGCCGAGGGGCCTTTGAGCAGGGCACCGAAACCCTGCCCCCACCCACACACACACACACACACACACACACACCAGGGAGCGCTCGCTGTGAGCAGCCCCCTCCCTCTGGAATCTCTCTAGTGCTCTAAGTGCATGTCCATAGGATCCTGTTTGTGCATGTGTGTGTATTTCAGCCTGTGTGTGTGTGTGGCATGTTCAATAACACAGTGTTACATTTAATTCCCTGTGGCAGGATTGATATAAAGTCTTCTTTAAATGGTATTTACAATTCACTTAGTGAACTAACTACAGTTTCACCTCTGTGAGAACAATGAGAAAGACTACAGAGGCAATCAGTGTAAAGAAAGAAAAAGATAAATATTTATTCATTGCTGTAAAACAAAGGGTTCCATCTTCTTGCCTTTAAACCATGGACGTCACTTGAAGGCTCTTTTCTGACACATGGCTGCATTGTTCTTCCAGTTGAGTTAGCACAGGTGCAACGTGAGGGAGAACTATTGCTAATCAGGGTGTTGCACTTTGAAGGTCAGTCGGTGAACAAAGTGATGCAGTTTGTGTTTGGAGATTTGCAAAACAGTGATTTAGAATAATATTTGAGTGAGACCAATGAGATTGCACTTAGAGTTTATAGTTTTGAGTCATATTGTTGACATACCAGCTTCACATTTTCAGAACATTGTGTGCATAGTTCATTTTCTTGCGTGTATAAAATGGGGGGAAACTGTAAGCTCCTGTCATCCATGGAAAGCTGAACTCCGGCTTGCTGTTGGCTTTGTAAGAAAAAGTCAGGGGGTCACAAAAATCATTAGAATTCATCCTCTGGGATTACAAATGTCTGTACAAAATTTCACGGCAATCAATCCAGTAGCTGTTGAAGTATTTCAGTCTGGACCAGAGTGTTGGACCAGTGGGACGGCATTGACATCCCTAAGGCCCTCACAGCTAGAGTGGGGAATAAAAGTGTTCACAGCGAGGTCTGTGGATTTTCCACAGTAGGTCCTCTGTAATTGGATAAAACTAAAATCCATTCCCTAACTTTGTATCATGATGGCAGCAGAAATTACAGACATGATTATCTGAAAATAAGATAAAAGAAATCAATTCAAATTATGTCCATAAATACAAAAACAAAAACAGAAGTTCAGCTTGGATAATTTAATTATTTTGACTTGAACACCACATGGCTTCTAAGGAAATTAAACAGTCCAATTCACACATGGAGACAAACATGGTACACGCTTCTTCTTTACTCAACGTCTGAACGCCTTTTTTCTGGTACTGTGTAAACTAAATCTAGCCGCTGCCTGGTTCCTCTTCCTCGCCAACTGATTCTTCCTGCCAAACACATTTACGGCAAAACGGACTCTCTGGGCTGCGGTAAAGAGCGGCACATCCAGGCAGACGTGCTCTCTGGCCCGGATAAGTGGAGGAGAAGAAGAAAAAGAAGAAGAAGAGTGGCACTCAAAGCCCAGACAAAGCATGGCACACAAACACACACGGTATTTCCGTTCAATTTAATAATGTACACACAGGCTACATAATAACGACAGCAAAACAGGCCGCTCTTTCTACTTATTCGTACACACACACACACACACACACACACACACACACACACTCATTCAGAGTCTCTCTCCCTGGTGGATAAATCAGTCCTTTCATGCTCTGTCGTCTGCCTGGCCCTGTTCTTCTGTGTTACTATAATAGAGAAGGAGCAGTTCCTCTCTTTTTACTATTCCAATGGTCACACATACATCTTCCTCTTCCTCCCTCTCTCTCTGTTCTTCAAAGGGCTCCCGCTCGAGTCAATCTACAAGTGCACTGTCGACTGAAGATAGTGGACTTACAGCTTGTGTAATGACCGAGGAGGATATATCAGGCTAATGAAATGTGTGTGTGTGTGTGTGTGTGTGTGTGTGTGTGTGTGTGTGTGTGTGTGTGCGCATGGCATGTGTAGGGGGTATGTGTGTGAAGATGTGAGGTATAATTTGTTCTTAAGTGATAAGGATGGAGGTAATAGCTTTTTGAAATAGGACCAGTACGATGATGAAGATGGTGCGATTAACACGAGTATAATAACGTTATCGCTGAGCTGTAATCAGGTGATGGCTTAGTGTTGATCGTGATATTGTTAATGAAGATGATCTGTTACCATTCAAAGGGGACATTTTTAAGGATGGCTTTTGCGGTAACTAGGCTGCAGAAGAAGTGTGTTTTCAGTCCGGAGATGGAGTGTGTGTGTGTGTGTGTGTGTGTGTGTGTGTGTGTGTGTTTTAAAGGTGCTCTGTTGAGAAGATTGTTCTGTTGACGTTCAGTATTTCAAGACGTAATTGGTCTGTTGTGTAAAATCCAACTTCTCTGTTATGAAACATTTTCAAAACCATATCAAACTCTTTTCATGTTTGGTTTGCTTGCCTGTTGTTTCCTTCGATTTATGTGCCTCTTTTTTTTAAAGCTTTTATATGGACTACCTTACACCTGTATAATGATTTTAACAACCCTCAATCAAGAAACACTAATCCAGGATATCAGTAAAGTAGTAGAAGTGAAGTAAAATACTATATATTTCAAAATGTACAATGTAGGATTATTGTTTTTCTCACTCATAGCCCTTTCCTTTTTCCTTTAGACTGATTGTAACAACAACTGTTTTTCACCCTCGACTGTATGGATGACGGTCAAACTCAAACCGAATGAGTTTGTCCCCAACCTCTGAGTCTCAGTGGTGTCACACGACCCTTCATTTCTTCTGACAGACTCTGCATATAAGGGCATTTGAAAATTCAGAGTCGGGAAAAAATGTCAACGTGGAGAGAAAAAAGGCTAAATGTAATCTCAGCTCACGTTAGCAGTCATGTGGCCGGGATTCAGTGTCAATAAGTCTTTATACACAGATTTCTGAATGCAAAGTGCAGCTAGCTATCGCTCTTACCTGTTGTATCTCAACTATGACGTTGTTCTACCGAAGTTGTTCATCCGACAGTAAACATGAAGAAGTCTTGGCTGAGAGTCCTCCATCGCTAACTGCTCACTAGACGCTCCAGAAAGATGGCCTTGGCCCTCAGAGACTATAAGTTCAAATTCTTCTTCACATACACATGCACGTTTTGGTCGCTTGGTTTGAATTTGTTTTAGTTTGATTTGATTTAATTCTCTTATTAGTGTCATGTATAAACAAGATGCCAACCTAAACAGGCTTTTTTTAAGACAAAGAAAGTAGATGAACACATTAAAATAATAACTGTGAAATACTTTTTGACTTTGCTGTGACTTTGCATGCGACAGTACCGTGGAATAAAATGTTCAGCATTTGGAGTCAACACACCATAAGAGAAAAAAAAGTTCCAGTTGTCATTTCATCCTAACTTGTAATGACATTAAAGAAACAAGAAGACCCAAAGTTCTGCAGGAATATAAAAATGAACTTCAATATTTAGTAAAAAAAACAACACACTTCTCTATATTTTGGCAACCTAAAATCTGCTTTATATCTTCTTTGTATCTTAAAACTTACATTTAAAGGATTAGAAAATGATTACTTACCATAAATCAAAGCATGAAGGAAAATGTACATACATATAAGTGCTCCATGTCAAAAATATGAAAAGAATATGAAAAATCCTTTTCAAAGGGAGCATTTGCCAATTTCTCTGGTGGCTCAATATAGACAAGTGTGAATCAACAAACCGATCTCTTGAACTATTGTTTTATTTTCACAATAATTGGTAAAATATGCAATTTTAAAGGAGGAATGTTCGAAATGTGACACATAAAAACAGCAGAGATCAAGTATCCTCTGTAAATGTCTCTCTAAGTCATGACTGTCTACAATGTCTACGTCATGTTTACATGGCGTCCTGGTCTTGTGTATAAAGCTGTTTTAGTCAACGTTTTAGCTACGAGCTAACTAAAGTGTGCTAAGATTAGCCTGCTAGCACAATAATGCAGGACACAGGCAAGTGCAGCTCAAGCAAAAGACATTTGTCCGCCGCTTGCTCTTAATGGTGCTCAATTATGGTGCGTTCTAATTCATAAGTCGCGACCGCGAGTGGAGAGGGGTTGGATGTTTGCCGCTGGAGGAGAGTGGAGGCTTCAGAATAGCGGAGGTGTCTCCAAACAGCAGCTTTGTTTTGGTTTCATGCTGGTGCTCAAGGGCGCCATCTACTGGATCAAAAAGTTGGACATATTTCCTTTAAGTCAATTTTATGTTTTTTGAAGGACTTGCAGCCCAAAACATTACAAACACCTGCAAGTGTTTTTCACACTATTTAATAATTCAGATCGACGCATGGCTGAAAAGCAGCTGAATTTGTCTTTACATTTCTTATGGCATTTTCTTGTAGCAGCAAGCAGAGCATGTTATCATACTGTTACCTCTTAGTATGAATATCCTCATGAGCCTTTCCAATATCAAGCGGCCTGGCAACCACAGTGGTGTCATGTATTTATCTCATTGATGTTCATAAAGTTTATTATTTAATAACCATTCATTAAGGGAAAGTGTTCATTACAACACATAAAACCTTTATAAAGTGCTGAACTTTGATAAAGTCACTGCAGTCAGATCATCAGTTCTTATTGGATCATTAGAAAAATTACAGAGACACGTATGCTCGGTACACAGGAAAGCTTAGCACATGAATACTAATCAGCATGCTGTGTAGATTTCTGAATGCTGATGGAGATGATGATGGTGGTGTTTGAAGACGCAGTGGAGATTATGAGTGATGATGGACATCTAACCAATAATAATCACTTCCGAGAGAGAGTTGGAGAGTTGGAGAGAGGGACAGAACGATAGAGAGAGAGAGAGAGAGAGAGAGCGAGAGAGAGAGAGAGAGAGAGAGAGCGAGAGCAGTGATGAAGAGATCAAGAGAGGAAAAGAGACAAAAGCGAGAAATTAGAGGATAGTAAGAACGTGCCGAGATATTTTCTAGAGTCACGTTATTATTGAAGGGAGAGAAGGCGAGCACGCGGGGGAGAGAGAGAGAGAGAGAGAGAGAGAGAGAGAGAGAGAGAGAGAGACAGGGGGGAGAGAGAGAGACAGAGAGAGAGGGCGCGATAACAGCGTTTGTCCTTCTTGGACTCAGTTTTCTGACCGGCTGACGGGCTGAACGAGCAACGGACGAACAAACTTGAGACATCACGCAGGGATCCGACATTACAAGGTAAATTCGGACTACATGAGTCTATAATAAGATGATTTGTCTTTGTGAATGTGTATTTTTTCCCGGCGGTCAGGCTGATTGAAGATCAGACCTAGTTTCCCCCTCGCTTGGTATTTGGGTATTTCGCTTCTCGCTCTGCTCTGCTCTTTGGCACCGCTGCTTGACATTCAACAGAGATCACATTTTGATTGAAATAACGGCATGTGCAACCTTAAACACTTAAATGACAATATTCGGTCTCCTTTACATGTTTGCACAGATGAACAGATGCGTGTGGTTTATTCTGACGCCGGACCGACTCCGTGCGTATTTGTGAGACCCCGAAGGCTTCAGCGGGATTTTTGCCATTTAAAAACTCTAGTCTCCAAAGCTTTGTGTGGAATTCTCTTTGAATGGTAGTTTTAAGAAATATTGCTGCTTATCCAGTTTCATAATGGACGACATTGAACGTGGAGTCCTAATTGGAAGAGATTGAGGACCTGTCCGCTGGCGCACACTCCGATGGGATTTTATGTGAGGGAATTTCCGCCATAATAACTGTTGTATACATTGATCGATTCCTCTATTGATCCATTCATCGATCCTCAGAGATTTGTCGTCCCATGTTTTCTCCCGACTACAAGGTGAGAAGAAGGTGCTGTCACTTTTCGTGCAAATTGGACGGGCGCAATATTTTTACGCGTGCGAGACGATTTCCTGACAGACGGCTTGGGTGCGTGCGTGTGCGCACTCTGTCTGCACGCGGCACTTACCGGAGGATGGCGGGGGGGCAGAGACTGACAGACAGTCACACAGCGAGCGCAGACACCCCGGGGCAAATATTATACCTGCACGCGGTCCGTATGCGCAATTTCTCCGCGGTTCAGCGCGTGTCTAATGAGGTTGATCGGCTCCGAGTCGCTTCAAAAACTCGGCTTAATTGCGTCCATTTATTACCCGACCTTATAAGTCGCAGGTAATAATAACTATTTGCCTTTTTATCTGGAGTTGGCGGGGGATGCGTGTGTGCGGGTGCAAAGTGATCTCCCTTTTTCTGTTCTAATTTTTTGTTTGTGTGAAAGCATCCATTGCCCTTCTGGGAAATGCATTTGCTTAGATTTATGACCTGCCCTCTCAGGTTATATCGATTATCGCAGCCTGCTGTGTACTATATTTTTGTAAAAGCAAGAAAAGTGGGTCTGCCACGTCTATATATATAATTTCTAGATGTTGCAGGGAGCACAGTGGGCTTGTAATACAGTTATCTGTGCAGCTGGGTCAACTCTCAAGAGGCAAATCTGTGCTCTTATAGCCCCTTGTTACACATATGCATAAAAACTGACGGCTTCCACATAGTCGTCATACACACACACACACACACACACACACACACACACACACACACACACACACACACACACACACACACACACACACACACACATGATGGGCCTTAAGCGACTGTAATGGCTCTGATCAGGGTGAAACATGTTTATGTATGTGGAGAGCTCATGTATTATACATCTCTGTTGCATCAGGGTTTATGGGTACAATCAGGGCAGTGTGTGTGCACTCTATGAGTCTGTATTTGTTTATGTGTCTCTGCTATGATATGTGTGTGTATCTCTGCATATATTTATCTGTCTGTGTGTTTCACTGTGTTATTAGTTTCTCTGATTGCATGAGCAATTGCATTTCTGCAATCTTGCCTGGACCGGCTGTGGCATCGCAAGGTTTCTTATTTGGGGGAGATAGAAAATAGGACGAGGGAGACGAACGATTGGGCACACACACTCTCCCCTCTTCTAATGTAGTTAAGAGAGAGAGAGAGAGCGCACACAGCAATGTGTGTGTCAGCATCCTGTTAGCAATTGTGAAACACCAGATAGCTCTTGCATTTACCTTGCAGATTGGGACTGAGATGAGGAGAGGAAGCAGAAGAAGAAGGAGAGGGGAAGGTTAGGAGACATCAAGGGAACGAAAAGGAGGGGTAGTTAGATTGACAAAGATGGAGCAGATGAAAGGTATATAGAGGAAGAGGTGGGGCAGAACATGAGCAGAGATTAGAGGAAAGACGAGGAAATGTGCGGGGAGTGGAAGGGAGATAGAGAGGAAGAGGATGGGAGAGGAAGGAGAGGCTGTTGGAATCCGACAGGTCGTACTGAGTCGGTGACTTATGCTGGTGATAAAAGTGCCTGAAGAATAGAAGCTTGAAAGAGAGGTGCTGTAATTGTGACAAGAGAGGGACACATGGAATCCCATTAGCGGACATTACTGTGTGTTAATGTTGATAATAGATGAAGAGGGGTCGGGATGGATGGTGAGATACAGAGAGGACAAGAAGGATGCAATAAATCTCACCAAGAACGTTAAGTTCATTCCAAAAACAAACTAGAAAATGTAGGACGCACTAGCAACAGTATTTGAATTCAAGTGTAAAATTCAAGTTTACATTAATCTTGCATTTATGGTCACATTATGTCAATATCTGACTGAAAAGAATGTTGTTTTGTGGATGCGCTCTATTAAATGCTAGAGGTTGTATTTTCCTGGGAAACATAAAAAAAAGTGTTTGAATGTACCCAGGGGCGTTACTAGTTGGCTCAAATTGAACGCCTTCCTGAATTATTTGGAAGCCAATGAAACGCTCTCGTGAATTTCTGTTTCCCGTTCCCAGTGATTCTATCTTCCGTGGGGCCATTTTCCTCTGATGTCAGGCTCAGGGCAGGGACGTTGAAATGCTCTTTTAATGTTTTACTTCTGTGTTCAAGTTTGTAATTCATTGGTATCAAACAAAAAGTTGAAGAGACACTAAACATTGGACATATGGAGGGACATTCGACCAGATTTCAAGGTAAAATAGTAGTTGGTAGTGGTTGGTGCACGCGCCCCATGTACGAAGGCTATAGTCCTCCATGTGGTCGGCCTGGGTTCGAGTCCAACCTGTAGCACCTTTCCCAACTCTCTCTGTTCCTGATTTCCAGCTCTATCCACTGTCCTGTCCCTACTATAAAGAAATAAAAAGCCCCCCCCCCGACAAAAAAAAATGGTCAGAGAAACAAACATTTTAGCATTTTGACATTTATTGGAAAACATATATCACCTTCAGTAATATTACCACTGAATAGGAAAGGCATAAACTCTGAGCTAACTGGGAACTCACTTTAATTACTTACTCTAGTAAGTGGTTTAATGCTAACGTTGACATTTGTTTAACAGGCTATCAAATTTGTTGATTGTTGTTAACATATGGCCTGATGTTCAACGGTGAACTGTAAATGAACTATTCTGTTGCTCGTAAATCTGGAAGCAGTGGAATGATAATTATTTTCCTTCCAGAGTAGATCCTACAAATATTACTCCATTGGCTGCTGAAATTGCAATCAACATCATTTATTCCATTCATCCACCACCAGCAACCACTTGGAAACATTTGGAAACTGTGGCCATGAAAAACTTTCTTTAAAGGCTGAAACCGTGAGCAGAACCAGCCATTATGATGGACTGCCATCTGCTGCATCAAGTTTCTTTCTAGAGTTCAATTATTCTTAAGAGGATTTTCAAAAATATGTTGAAATACTCAATACAATCCATTTTATTGGGACTCTAGCCATCACCCCCTCCACCAAGCTTTCATAACCTCTTCTGCCTTGTAAAGGTTTATCTAGGAAGAAATCATTTTAACTCATCATGTTCCTGGCTCCAATGCCATGTCTTTTTTTTTTAAGACTCAATGAAACTCTGTCAGGAAGACGTCTCAGACGATTATGAACCATCAGCAGGACTCTTTTTCCTTTTGATTCCCTCCTAATGAGAATGGGAGAACCCCCAAGATGCGCACCCATAGGGGCTTTTCTCTTCTGTCAGTGTGTGACAGCCAACGGACGCGTACCATTCATTAGATGACAATTCAGTGAAATGAATCAGACAACATGGCCTCCCAGGGATCCTCCCAGAGAACAAGGAAATAAATGCTTAGTGCTCAAGACATGAACATTCCCTTGAGGCCGCGCTCACTAAGATAATGCAACGGCAGAATTCCCTTTCCGGTTGTTTCAGACGGGAAAGGAAACAAGGAGCTTCCAGGATTTAACGTCAGCGGAGATCACGCCTGTACTCTTGCTTTCCAGGCGAAAGGAATGAGCTGTATAAAACCTTCTGCAGAGAGCTCGTCCTCTGGTGTCAGTCTCTTGAAGAGGGAGTAAAACGCCGGTGACTCTGCTGTGACTTTGCGCCGAACTGAATCTAAACTACATCATCTCCAATTACCGACCCAAGGCAAGTGTCTGACGAGCGATTTTTCATCCATACGTAATGCTCCCTTTAAACTCCGGATAGATGTGAAGGATGATGTGCTATAGCTTCCCTCGGTGCCCTTTGATGGTGATCATGCATCAAAGGAGGTGAAGACACATGATTGCTGATGCTGAGATTTTGAGACGGGGAATGCTACGAGGGTTTCTCAAGAAGCATCTCCCAGGAAAAAACAGAGCAAGATTGAGCTTGAAAATTCCTTCACGCTTTTCCACCCCAGTGTTCCCCCAGCAACATGTCCTCAGCCTGCCAAAATTGAGGTTAAGGCTGATCCAAGCCAGAGCAGTGCCATACCCAGACAAAGGACGGGAACTATCAGAGACCTGAAAACAGAATATTATCCAGTCATGACACATAATTTTTGTGATACAGCAAATATAGCCCTGACATATGTTGCGATATACTGCAGTCTACTATCTTCATTTAACTGCAAAATGAGTCCCAAAAAGGAGAACTTTGTAAAAATCCTTGACATTTACTAAAACAAAGTTTTGAGTCTGTTCATGACCAACACTGTCATGAAAACTGGTCATAAATGTTGCATGTATCTGAAAAACTGATCTTATATTAAAGCTCCTGTGAGGGGCTTTTAAGATACCTATAAAACTGCTGCTTTAAAACATAAAGATACCATGACATTGATTATTCTGTGAAGTTATTTTTAACGCCTGCGCCTGCAGGATATGGGTGTCAGACAGGTCGATTGA